CCCACAAGTGCTCAATTGGGGATAAGTCGGGAGATCTTGGTGGCCATGGTAACAATGTGACATCATTATGTTGAAAGAAGTCTATTGTGACTCTTGCAACATGTGGTCGGGCATTATCTTGTTGGAAAGTTGGATCTGCCAGGGTGTCAAGATAGGGTAAAAGATGGGGTTCTAGAACTTCGTGGATATAACGCTGCGCGTTCGTGTTACCTCTGATGAAGATTAAAGGTGACCTGGAACCATAAGCTATAGCACCCCAAACCATAACTCCAACAGTGTGATGAACATGTCTTTCAACAAAAAACTGTGGATTCCTCCTTTCACCACGTCGCCTTCTAACCCTGGCACGACCATCGTGCATGTCTAAACAAAATCGAGACTCGTCACTAAAGACAATACTGTTCCATTTCCTGACCCAGAGTGGCCGTTGTCTGCACCACTCAAGGCGATTACGTCGGTGTTCTCGAGTTAAAGGGTGGACCCAGTGTGGCCGATATGAAAACAAGCCAAAACTTCTCATTCGTCGGTAAACACTTCGCATGCCAATAGGTCTTCCATGTTCTGCAAACCATTCATTTGCAATGGACCTGGTAGTGGAGAAACGGTCCCTTAAGGCCAATAATCTTAGGCGGCGATCTTCACGGTCTGTTGTTCTACGGCGGCGTCCAGTGCCCCTTGCTCTTTGCGTACGGCCTTCTCGAAGCCATGCCTGACAACACCTAACCACAGTGTCTACACTTATTTGCACTCTAACTGCAATTGCCCGAAAAGAAAGTCCAGCTTCCCGAAGTCCCACTATACGGCCCCTATCAAACTCACTAAGTTGACGAAATCGTACATGTCTCCGTACTCTAGGCATCGTAACCGATCGCAAAGGATGTCAAGAACCAAAATCCGCCAACGTTGATTCTTTACTGCGGCTGAAATATTCATTTTTAGAGCGTTAGTGAATTAAAAAAAAAGGTGTATAAAAATCGGAATGTCCAACTGATAAAGCTGAAAATTTTTTCACTTGTTACTTACAGTAAGATAAATATATTCACCAACTATTATTAAAATAAAACCATTTAAACTGGGTGTTCGGATTTATATGTCACTTAGTATACTTTGAAAGAACGACCAGTATGCACATTATAGAAGTTGTAACATAGAACTATGCCCTCAAAAAACATGTTGTGTGCGCGCCCAATACAATAACAGACGTTTTTTATGACTTAAAGGTCCTTGATCTACCACTGATCTTGGGACGGCATTTACCTTATACCGAATTCAACGACACTATTTGCCGATTCCGTTTTTTTTGCCGGTTCGGCAACACTGCACTTTAATTGAACGCAATTGATATCCCAGACCAGGGGGGTGAAACTCATATTGACGAATGGGAAACAAAGCAGTGTTGCTGGTGCATAATACGACAACCATGTCGCACCCTCAAAAAATGGCCGCTGACAACCATACAAGTCACCGTGTTCCCATTGAATAGCATGGAATTAAACCTTCTTCAGTGCATACGTTTTGTGTCCCAGACGTGTTATAACAATAAAAATAAGAAAATAAAACAATGTTTGGAGATATGTTTTCATACATAGGTATTTTGGATTCTGACCTATAATATCTGGACGATGAATAATAGGTGGATGCAGATACTTTTACAAATATCGATGTTTTAGGACCCAGAAATGCAGAATGTGCTGTTTGTTTATATTTGGTGTGGATTTGTATATCATAAATTGGCAAAAATTGTTTTTGATGTAACAAAACATGATGAACCAGTTGGAATACGTTTTATATCCTTTTTTTTTGCAAAATAGCAAAAATCCGTACATTTCTACAGGTAGGTATTTTGTACAACACCCTGTACGTGATATGACCGTCCTTTCTGGAAATTCTATGAAAGTTATCCTAATTCTAAAGCACAAAGACATACTATTACATCTATAATGTACCCTTATTTATGAGGCAACTATTTTTTCACGACTTTATTCAACCTTTCAATAGAAATCACTGATATTCAGAGACCTTTGACAGCTTCTGTCAAATTGCATTTCGATAAGCTATTTTCCCATTGGTCCAAGGGACCGTCAAATATTAATGTTGGTGAAATTGGGCCTTAGAGAACCATTTAGCTAAGGGGGGAATACATAAATTCACTCTTGTTAACCTGTCCTCCAGAACTTCTCCTTAATGTTTTTATTTTAAATTTTTTTTCGTTCAATAAATGTCTGTGTACCTTGAGTGAGTTGGTATCTTCTTTTAACGCCGGAATCCCAACAGTGATACTTGTTGTTATTTCATTTCCTAGTTTTTGTAAATTAGGTGACGCCCAAATAACCATTGCATCCGTAAACCAAAGTACAAAGAACTCCACCCTGAGGAGGCTCATATCTACCAACTGAGCACAGAGTGCATTCGGGATAACAAGTGATACCAGAGTTCATTATTTGTCATGAGCAAAGTCTACAGCGCTAAGCGATGGCGTAGTTTCCTTCGAATTAGAAATCAGTTTATTACGTCTGGAGTGACAACAAAGTCCCTTATTACACCAGTTAATCCCTGCGCCCAACAAAGGATCGCCTGCTAAAACAGCCAATCAAGTTTCAGATCATTTGTTACTAGACAAAGTCAACAGTGTTAAGCGGTGGCGTCGTTTCCTTAGTAAGACGAACTAATTAGAGAGATTGGGCGTGGCGAACGTAAAATCTGACGCTCGAGGCGTTAATTGGCCAATGTATGCTGGGTGCATCGCAGAGGTACAACAACAGTTACGGGCTCTGAAGGGTTTTGAGACGTAAACATGCTTAGCGGCACAACACGCGTTTTGAGGGATCTAATCAAGACCTTAATTAAATGAAAATAGCCTTGGAACGCCCGATACAAATAATTCCATACCATACCAAACCAACAGCTGGTGACATCTAACCTTTGCGGTTTCTTTTGGGGATGAAAGGGGTTCTTACTACGATCTTTGTAGCTTTGGGTACATACATCTTTTACACCGAGGGTTGTGAAACCTCACATAATGGCTTTTCTAGTACTCGACTTATTCAGCTCTGACGTCGAGATATAGCGTTTATACATATAACGATGCTTGTTACACCAATAAAGGGAGTGTCTGCCTCCCGAAATTGTGAAATACCGACAAAAAAAGGTTGTTTGAAGTATGGCAAATACCTTCATTTCCAATCATTTAGTTTTCAGTATCTGCCACTCTTTTTTTTTATACAGTTTGGGGTGTTAACAGGTAAACCCAACACAACCCTCAGTGAACTAAAACTAAACTTACATAAAATATCGTATACATATACGAGTACATATATTACATTATTGAATACTTCAATATTAATATTTTTTTATCCTCCGATATTGTTGTAACAACATAAACTGAGTGAGTAGTTCTAATTATAAGCAATAAACTATCAATTTAACTTTTTTAATAAAAGGAGTATACATAATTTAACATTTACTTACGTTTAATTAAAACTGAAATCAAAATTAAATTGAAATTATACCAGAAATGATATTGGAGGTGATAACTTGAGTTATGTAAAAAAATAAAACATTTCTATTTTAGTCTGCCATAGAGCTGTAATACTCATACTTTAAAGCCTTTTTCAGGGAGGTCAAGCTAATGTTAAATAAATCTATATTACAGAAATTATTATGATTTTTTTGAGCCCTGAACAAAGGGGAATTAAGACCAAGATTGGTTCTACGGAACGGCATTCTAAACAGATGCTAGGTTCTAAACGTTCTATCAGGAGTGTTAAAGTTCAAGTTTGCCAAAAGATCCGGACAGTCAGTGAGGCCATTCAACAATTTATGGACACAGCAAATGTCAGAAATCGTTCTTCTATCTTTTAAGGAAATCATATTGAACTGTTTCATAATTTGCGTATAATGATGATCTGTAACAGGTTGGTGAGTTTTATGTGCTAACATCTTCAAAAATTTGTGTTGAATTCTTTCTATCCTGACTACATGTACATTGTAAGACGATTCCATATTACTGATACACACATCAGTTTGTTGTGTATATAAGCGTAGTACAATGAAAGAAGCGTTTTTGGGTTCGTAAATTCTCTGCATGTCCTGTTTATGAACCCTAGTGTTCTATTTGCATCATTTACGATGTACTCTACGTGGGTGATGAATGAGAGTTTCTCATCAATGTATACCCCTAGGTCTTTTACTACATGAAGCTTTTCCAGTTCTGCCGTCCCTATCTTATATCTGAAATCTATAGTGTTCGCTATGTTTCTAGTAAGCCTCATGTAATGACATTTTGTTAAATTCAGGAAGATACTGTTTTCAGTGCAATACTTTTGCAGAGATTCCAAATCGCTTTGAAGTTTTACACCGTCATTTACATTTCTAACAATAGTAAATATCTTTAGATCATCAGCATATAACAAATATTTACTGAAATGAAAAACAGAAGTAAGGTTGTTCATGTATATGTTAAATAACAATGGTCCTAAGTGACTACCTTGTGGTACGCCTGAAGTTACTAAGAATGTCTCCGAACGATACCCATTGATAGTCACCACTTGTTTACGATTACTTATATACGATGCTAGCCACTGCCATAATGGACCATCTACACCCACCTCAGCAAGTCTCTCCATCAAGATAGAATGATCAATCTTGTCGAAAGCCTTACTGAAGTCGGTATAAATAACATCCACCTGCAGTTTCTCATCTATTGCGTGAGAGGCATATTCTATAAAACTCATCAAATTCGTCTCTACAGATCTTTTAGGGAAAAATCCATGCTGGTGTTCCGTAATGATATTTTTTGTAATGTTTAAGATAGGATCATAAATCAGCTTTTCAAAAATTTTTGAGAAAATACAAAGTTTAGTGATAGGTCGATAATTTTCCACAAGATGTCTATCGCCTCCTTTATGAATAGGCAATATTTCACCTTCTTTCCATCTCGTTGGAAAGACTCTTTGAGTTAATTATAGTTTGAAAATTAGGTGAAGTGGTAAACATATGTTATGAATCGTGGATTTACTGTTATAAACCAGAAAATAAACGACAGTCGGCTGTTTGGGTGTTTCAAGGTGAAGAAAAGCCAACAAATGTCATCCGTTCTCGAAAAAGATGGTCGCGACATTTGTGTCAAAAGCGGTCATATTGCAACAATTCCTCTTAATGAGCAAAGTACTGTTACTGCGGATTGGTATACCACCATTTGTTTGCCAAAAGTCATCACTGAGCTTCGAAAAATCAACCCCGAAAGAAGAATCATCCTCCACCGAGACAATGCAAGCTCGCACACAGCTCAAAAAACAAGGCAGTACTTAACGGAAGAAAACGTGGAATTATTGGACCATCCTCCATATAGTCCCGATCTAAGTCCTAACGATTTCTTCACTTTCGCGAAAACTAAAAACAGACTGCGTGGTCAAAGGTTTCAGTCACCAGAAGAAGCAGTTGACGCATTCAAAACTGCCGTTTTGGATCTGCCAACAAACGAGTGGAATAAGTGCTTCGGAAATTGGTTCGAGCGCATGCAGATGTGTATTAATCATCGTGGAGAATACTTCGAAAAACAATAAAGTCATTTGAAACTACCTACCGTGTTGTTTTATTTCCATATGCAAAATTTAAAAGACATCCCTCGTAATGTCGGAAGCTTTTGGAATAAAATCATTCAATATTCTTGAGCTCATTGGATCAGATTTTTCCTGCAGTTTCGTAAACGCGTTTACGAAAAATCCCAACCGAAAGCAGTGTCTTATGAATAATATACCCACGTTACCTGAGCGAACTCCACTATTGTCAGACCTCATTACCTAATACATAAAGCAGACCCCCAACAAGAGTGGAATTTTCCGATAAATAAATCAAGAAGCAGCTACAAAATGAACGAAGCTTGGCTGCATGTGGTTACAGCTTGAAGCCCCGGCAGCTATTTTCCGGCAATAATAGTACATCAGAGTAGGCGAGCTCTCCCAATTTTTCCCAGGTTTTCATACGCTTTTTCACAGAACCATGTTTGATTGGTTTCTCTTGGCTTATGATATATAACTTCAATTTCCTCTTGACGGGATTTTCAGTTGCTACGCTAACCAGCAAAGTCTGCTTCGCCTTATTAATATCACGAAATTTTTCAAATATAGCAATAAGTAGGTAAAATAAATATTTTCATAGACGTCTTTTCCCATTGTCTCGTTAAATACGTTTCCCAAACCCAACACGCTTTAATACTAAGGTGTTTCAAACCGAAAGTGTTGTAAATCTAATGCAACATGTGACTTAATAGTTCAATACAGGTTTCACACAGAAATATCGGTAAGTATTTGGAATTTGCACTTCCCACGCAACGTTGTCATCCATTCATAATTGATTATATTAGGCATATATATATATATATATATAGTAGTAGAAAACAAGCAAACGATCTCGTCCAACCTTGTCAAGAATTTGGTTGGTACACAGTCCATGAAATAACCTTTTGGCGAAGAGTTTCCATTTATAAGGATAAAGTACGGGTCTGGATACATTGGTGCAGCGGATTTTACAGTTTTCAGTCATTTTCGGCCATATTTATATAACCTCGGAGTGTCGTAAAATTGACAAGTTGACAGTCTGTTCTTCCTGATTCATACTACATAAGAAATTACTATACAGAGTGTCATGACCCGCAAAAAGAAGAAGGAAGAAGAAGAACAACAAGAAAAGCCCGAGAATGAAAAAAACTGCATCACAGATGAAGAAAATCGACCTGATTCGACTAATGTAAAAAAGATATTAGAAGAGAATCGATCCCTGAAGAAAACACTAGCAGAAAAGGAGGAAATAATTCGTCAGCTCAATAACGAAAATTTAAAACTAAAAGAGCAGCAACTGTCAGTAACCGCAAGTATTACTGAGAAGGATGCCATAGCATCAGCATTAAATAGAATTAATATGAGACTCGACAAAGTTGAGAAAAACCAGTTAGTAAAAGAAAATTCATACGCACAAATCTTAAAACAAACGATACCTATTACTAAAAGGCAATCACTGAAATGCATCACAGTTATTCCAAAAGAAAAACAATCTTGCGATAATACGAGAAGAGAATTGAGTAAGAGAATAAATCTTTCATCTCGGAACATTCAAATAGAAAGTGTGAGAAACTCAAAAAATGGCGGAATTGATATAAAAATTGATGAATCACATCATAATAAACTGAAAGATGAACTTCAAAATAAATTGAATGAAAAATACCAAGTTACTGAGCCAAAAATGTTAAATCCAAAAATTAAAATAATAAATTATAAAAGTAGTGAGAAACCGCATGAAAAGCAAATTGAAGAAGATCACTGCTTTGTGAAAGACCTATCCAAAAAAATTACTTGTATAGCAATAATTCTAGAAAGCGATATTACTGACCACTTCTCCACTATTTTACTGATATCTTCAAATGAAAAACATTCTAACAACCGTTAATAACAACCAGGAAAATTACAAAATTTTTGTCGACAATTCAAAACTAATATCAAATGTCAAACAAGAATCCTTGGAACAATTATACTCTATAAATAATATAGACAAAGCAACGGGACTGTTCATAGAGAAAATAAAAAAACTAATCGATATTAGTACCAATAAAGTAATAATTAGTCACAAAGAGAAAAGCAGAAATGCCTGGATTACCAAAGGATTAATAACATCGGCAATAGAAAAAGAAAGACTATATAATGTAATGAAACTAACGCCAACTACAGAGAATACCGACTGCTACAACCAATATAAAAATAAATTTATAGAGCTTGTAAGGCAAATCAAACGAAAACATTACCTAAATAAATTGAATAATAACTTAAATGATCCTAAGCGGCTTTGGACAACTATTGATGAGATTACTGGGAAAACAAAATTTAAGAGTGTGTCACTGAGTTAAATACAACATCGGGAACAGTATTAAAAAATACTCAACAGATATGCGATGAATTTGTACAATTCTTTACTGACATAGGCGAAAATTTAGCAAGTAATATACAAGCAAATGTACAAAATACTCAGCCTCCAAAAAGAACTTTGAACTCATTTATTTTGGATAAAGTCGAGCAATGTGAAGTATACACCACTGTTATGTCCTTAAAGAATCGGAAAAGTCCTGGGTTCGATGGTATTGAAAGCGAGCATTTGAAAATTATAGCCGAGGACATAACAGAACCACTCACTTACCTAATCAACAAATGCTTTGAAACTGGCATATATCCCTCAATTTTAAAAAAAGGTAATATAATACCGATACATAAATCAGGAACAAAAACAGATGTTAACAACTATAGACCAATATCAATAATATCCAGTGTAGCAAAGGTTTTTGAAAAAGTTTTATCTACTAGAATGATTCGATACCTCACAAAATTCAAAATTTTAAGTGAAAATCAATATGGATTTACAGAAGGGAAGGCTACATCGGACGCAATAACTAAAATTGTAAATCAAATACATCAAAATATTGATAACAGAATCCCTTCAATCTGCATTTTTGTTGATTTAAAGAAAGCTTTCGACACAGTTAATCACAAATTATTATTAGAAGCATTGGAGAGAATTGGTTTCAGAGGAAACGCGTACTCACTGATCGAAAGTTATTTGTCAAATCGCCCACAATCTGTGCAGATATCAGGATCATTTAGTAAAGAAATGTATATTAAGTGTGGTGTCCCACAAGCAACTGTCTTAGGTCCGCTGTTATTCAATATATATTTAAATGATATTTTCCGAATTAATTGTGTTGGCAAAATAACTAGTTTTGCAGATGATACTGCAATATTATATGAAGGCACTGACTGGTCTGATCTGAAAAATGTAATTGAAAATGATTTTATCAAAATTATTCGGTGGTTTAACAGTAGAAAATTAAGCATTAACTACTCTAAAACACATTTTTTACCATTTGGATCTTATGCTAGACGTCTGCCAAATTACACAAATTTCTCCTTCAATATTAATGATCAAAAAATGCAAATTAATAGAGTGCCCAACATAAAATACCTTGGAGTGGTCTTGGATCCTCACTTACGATGGGACATCCATGTCAATTATATTTCAAAGAAAGTTAGATTTGTATCCTACAAAATTAAATACCTTGGGAATATATTGACAGAAAAATATCTTCGAACATTATACCATGCACTGATTGAGCCTCATCTCACATATGGTATATAAGCATGGGGAGCTGCATGTTCCTCACATATCTATAATTTAGATGTTTTTCAAAAAAGTATTCTAAAAATGATATTTAAAAAACCGAAACTTTATCCCACTGAAAAATTATACGCAGATGTTCGAATGTATGATATAAGACAGCTTTATTTCTTACACAGTATCACTCACTACCATAAATTTGTAAACACCGACCAAAAAATTAAACATAATCATTATACCAGTTACAAAATTCGTGGCACAGTAGTTCCTCAACCGCATAAATCTATAATACAGCGATCATATCTCTATTTAGCGCCTAAATTTTATGAAATTATACAAAAAGACTTAAAAGATTTACGTTTCGGAAATTGTTTCAAAATAAATTTAAAAAAGTGGCTACATTCTATATCTAGGACTGAAATTGATAAACTCATAAATACGAACGTCAACTAAATACATAACCTACTGTAGCTAATTTTTGTCCTTTTTTGTCATTTGCATTCTACAGTTTCAACTTAAATTATTGGTCCATGTACAGGCGATGCCTTCTATTGGGCCTGTTTTGATTTTATATTTATTTACTCATATTGTTTGTTATCTTTGTACATTGAGTGAATAAATATTATTATTATTATTATTATTATTATTATTATTATTATTATAATTTAATCCTCTTAGAAAAAACTTTGCTACGAAAATTGCGATCTAGCCTACCGTCTTACCGACCACCATAAAAGCTTACACTTGGCACAAGTTATCCCCTTTTAGAAAATAATTAACTACGAAAATGTATGACAAAGGAATTACATAGATCTAGGGCCGATTTCACAAACATTAATATTATCTAAATGCAATTTAACAGAAGCTGTCAAAGGTCTCAGAATATCAGTGATTTCTATTAAAATATTAAATAAAATCGTGAAAATTCGACTGTATTATAAACAAGACCACTTCTTCATTCCAACATGATGCTTTTGTACAGAGAAAACAGGTAAACTTTCATGTATTTTGATTTGTGTTATAAATTTACATTTAACAATCAGTTATCCCCAAAAGCCAATGGGAATGCGGCAAATAATAGGTCGATTTTCTAGCTGTTAAATTTGGCAGCAGATTTAGACGTTTGTTAATGCACGGCAATCTCGAATTTAAGTTCAATATAGTGTTATCATTACATACCTGTCGAATACTGTGGATTTGTCTGTATTTTGCAAGAAAATAGAATATAAAATACTTTCCATCCAATTCCTCATCTTCCTTTACGTCATAATAATAATAAAATTATTAATTTACCGGTTAATGAATTTCTTCAAAGCAATAAAAACATTGTCCTCTCCATCCTAAAACACAGATAATATGTGTAAGACGTGTCAATCCTTACATCTCCGTGATGCATAATGCAATTACTATGGACATAGATA